GGTCAAAACCCTAGCCAATAGGGTGAGACACAGCCTTGAGACTCGCGTCAGGGATTAAAAACCCGAGTGGACTGCCCACTCGGTGTCCTCACTGGCCTGTTTGTGTATGTATAGCTATGCGCATGCATCCTCCTACAAGAGTAAATTTTACTTTGCCAAGGTAATTTAGTCTCACCGAGTGTCTTTTTTGTGATATGGGGATTCATTTCTAACACTATGAGTCAGAACCAACTCATCGGCACTAAACAATATGGCACATAAAAAAAAAAAGTTGCCTCAAGTAAATTGTGACTAATGATGAACTCATGTGTTATGGAGTCCTGCTATGGTGCTGTAGGACAAGCATTGGACTGCTAACTGCAAAATTGGCAGTTCAAACCCACCAGCTGCTCTTTGGAAATCCTATACGGGGTGGCTACGAGTCAGAACTGATTCGATGGCACTTAACATGTGTTTCAGAGTAGAACTACACTCCATGAGGTTTTCAGTGGCTATAATCTTTGGAAAGTAGATCGCCGGGCTTTCTTTTGAGGTTCCCCAGGGTAGATTCAAACCTCCAACCTTTGGCTAGTAGCTGAGCTCTTAACTGTTTACACTATCCAGGGACTCTCATGTAACACATAATGCATTCGATACTGATTTTACAAGCATTTACACACAACTAGTTTAAGCTTCAGCCCTCCATTATTGTTGCTGTTAGGTGCTGTTGAGTTGGTTCTGACTCAAGGCAACTCTGTGTATGACAGAATGAAACACTATCCAGTCCTGTGCCATCCTTACAGCTGTTGTTACGCTTGAGCCCACTGCTGCCGCCACTGTGCCAAGCCACTTCATTAGGGGGAGAGGGGAGTGTCTTCCTAGTTTTCATTGACCCTTCACTTTACCAAGCATGATGTGCTTCTCTAGGAATTGGTCTCTCCTGATAACATGTCCAAAGTACGACAAATGAAGTCTCACCATTCTGGTTTCTAAGGACCATTCTGGTTATCCCTCTTCCAAGACAAGATGTGTTTGTTCTTCTGGCAGTCCGTGATACTTTCAATATTCTCCTCCAACACCATAACTCAAATGCATCAATTCTTCTACAGTCTTCCCTATTCACTGTCCAACTTTCACATGCACATGTTGTTGGTTAAGTGCTGACTCAGCCACCCTGTACATGGTTCCCAAGAAGCAGCTGGTGGGTTTGAACTGCTAGCCTTTCAGGTAGTTAACGGTCCAGGGCAAATGTTGTTAAGTGCCACCGAGTCGTTTCCGATTCAGAGCGAGCCTGCATAGGGTTTCTGAGGAGCGAATGATAGGTTTGAACCACTGACCTTGCGTTTCAAACTGATCTTATGGTCTAGGGTAATATCCTACAGCACCACACAGGACTCCTAGTGCAAATGAGGTACTGAAAATACCATGGCTTGGGTCAGGAGTGCCTTAGTCCTCAAACTGGTATCTTTGTTCTTGAACATTCTAAAGAGGTCTTTTGCAGATTGCCCAATGCAATCCTGACTGCTATTTCCATTAATGTTGATTGTGGATTCAAGCAAATTGAAGTTTTTGAGGACTTCAATCTTTTCTCCATTTATCATGATGTTACTTATTAGTCCAGTGGTGAGGACCAATTTTGAGGTGGTCTTTGATCTTTATAAGTATTTGAAGTCCTCCTCTTTGCTTTCAGCAAGCAAGGTTTTATCACCTGCATGTAGTAGGTTGATGAGTCTCCCTCCAATCCCGATGTCACCTTCTTCTTCATGTAATCCATGATCTCAGATTATTGCTCACTATATCCTGGTGTGGCACTGTGGGTTAATGTGCCAGACTGCAAAGCTGTTTGAACTGCAAGGTCGGCCATTCAAGCTCACCAGCTGCTCCTCGGAAACCCTATATAGGGTCACTGTGGGTCGGAACTGTTAGAAATGAATCCCGATGTCTCGTAAAAGACACTAAATTACCTTGGCAAAGTAAAATGTACTCTCGCAAGACGGTGCATGCGCATAGCCGTATCATACACAAACAGGCCAGCGAGCACACCGAGTGGGCAGTCCACTCGGGTTTTTAATCCCTGAAGTGAGTCTCAAGACTGTGTCTCACCCTATTGGCTAGGGTTTTGACCACACAATCTGTTCCCTTACCTGGTTGGCTAGTTCAAAATTTTTATGGCGCACATTCCTACTTGAGAAAAAGAAGAGAGCGATCATAAAGTCTTTGCTCCAGGAAGTAGTTTAAGGAAGAAAGTGATCATAAATTCTTTACTCCAGGAAGTAGTTTAAAGAAAAAAAGAAAGTGATCATAAAAATATTTTTTCACAGAACCGACTCGACGGCACTTAACAACAACAACATACAGATTGAACAAGCGTGGCAAATACAAACTTGGTGCACGCCTTTCCCGATTTTAAGCCATATAATAAGTGTTCATTATTGCTGTTGTTGTGAAGTGCCTTCGAGTTGGTTCCGACCCATAGCGACCCTGTATAGGGTCTCCAAGGAGCAGCTGGTGAGCTTGAACCAACCACCTTGCAGTTCAAACGATTTTGCAGTCTGGCGCATTAGCCCACACAGCGCCACCCAATTATTGTTGTTGGTGTTGGTTCCAGCTCATAGTGACCCTGCATAGGGTTTCCGAGGCTGTAAATGTTTAGGGAGCAGAAAGCCTCACCTTTCTTCCGCTGAAGGGCTGGTAATTTCGAACTGCTGACTTTGAGGTTAGAAGCCCTACTAGTAACCACTACGCTACTAGAGGAATTTGTACAAATCCAACCCCCTCCCTCATTCCACCTCAAGCCATGAATTCTAACTGAAGCTGATATCAAGGCTATTTTCACCTACTTACTTAAAAAACAAAAAAAAAGACTGATTAATGCTGATAACTCTTTTTGTACTCCACACCTTCTGCATATACCTATAAAGTAAGCCCTCCTTTACCAGCACATTCCTTATTTCCCACTAACCAGGGACTCCCCAGTAACTTTCACCTGCGTTTTCTACTCCAGAGACCTCTGCAGAGTAATTGCTTCTCAGAGCTGCAGAGAGGCCATTTAGGGAGTTGAGGAGGAGAAAGGGTTCTGGCCTCATACTCAAAGCTAGACTGTATGAAGAGAGCCTGAGCATTCATCCCAGAGAGACAAAGTCAACCAAACCAGCCCTACTTTGAATATGCGAATTTCCAAACCGGAAGAGACCGAGCTATAGTCATTGCGAAAGTATGTAGCAGGAGCTGACTGAATCATAGGGACTCTGCATAGGGTTTCTGCGGCTGTAAATCTTTGTAGGAGCAGAAAGCCTCATCTTTCTCCCGCGGGGTGGATGTGGGCTTCAGTCAATGACCTTGGGGTTCGCAGTCCAATGCTTATCTTACAGCGTTACCGTGCCCCCTTTCAAAGGTCATCTAACCAAAACTGCGATTTGCAACGCTTCCTAAGACTAAAAATCCTAGGAGGCCAGCAGGGAAATCTGTGCTTGAGTTCGGGCACCCTCCCACTGAGGTTCAAGACACACCCATTTCTCCGCTCCTTCCGATAGGTGCGGCTCAGCAGCCAGCTAAGCAACAGTGCGCTAACCCCTACGTAACCCCTTTCTGCACCTTCATCCCAAGGACATCGCGGTAGAAACGTGCTGTCTGGAAGCGGTTTCCCACTTTGAATACGAAATGCAGAGCTCGCCGAGCAGCCATGACTCCCACCGCCACGGGTTCCGTCATACGTACAGCGCCGCACCATTGGCAAAAGACGCAGTCCGGCTGGTGGGGTCACTGTGCGCCGTTGGCGCCCTCACATGACGTAGCTCACGACACTGGGGAAGATGGCGGCGCTGAAGGCTTTGGGTTGTACTCTGCGACCTTTGCTGCCAGTGGTCCAGACTTGGGATGCCGACGCTAGGCGTTGGGTTCGGGCGCTGCGGAGGAGCCCTGTGAAAGTGGTGTTTCCCTCTGGACAGGTTGTAGAACGGAAGCGCGGGCCTGCTAAGAAGCAGCCCCCGGAGGTGGTGTCTCGGGCTTGTGCCCAGACACAGCCACAGCAGCAGCCCTCAGATTCTACGCCCAGCAACTGGGAAGAGTCAGGGCTTCGCTACGACAAAGCTTTTCCCGGGGACAAGAGACTGAGGTGATGTGTACCTAAATCTTGACACGTTTTGCGGTTTTCATTCCACCTAGGGCCTGCCCTTGGGCCCTGGTGTAATGCTGTAGAATAAACACTGAACTGGTAACCGCAAGGTCGACAGTTCAAACCCAACAGCCGCTCTCGGAAACCCTTTACCGGATCTCAGTGACTCGGAAAAGACCCGACGGCTCACAACAATAACAACACGGCCTGACCTCCTTTCTTACTTGATGGAGGACTTCTGTTTCTTTTTTTCTTAACGCCCGCGTAAGGCAGATAAAATGTTCTTGGGATTCATTTGTTTTTGTTTTTGTGACTGTTAGAATTAGATGTATCTTGGTAACAAGGTTGTAAGTAATTACGCGTCTTTTTGTCTCCACCTCTAGCCGTGTCATGACAATAGTTAAGTCCAGGCCGTTTCGAGAAAAGGAAGGGAAAATCCTGCTGGAGGGTCGCAGATTGATTGCCGATGCTCTCAAGGCTGGGGCTGTGCCGAAGACTTTCTTCTTTAGCCGTCTGGAATACATAAAGGAGCTGCCCTTGGCTAAGCTGAAAGGTGTCAGCCTCATTAAGGTGAAATTTGAGGATATCAAGGACTGGTCCAACCTGGTAGCACCACAAGGAATAATGGGTCAGTGATTAAACTGGGTCACTTGGAGTTGACGTGTAGTTGCCATGGAGACTCGTGTCCACCTAATGTGTAACAGAATGAAACTCTCCCCCTCCTGAACTAGCCACACAATCTTTGGTATGTTTGAGTTCATTGTTGATGTGGAATTGCTTGTCTTAGGGCAGCAAATTTTATTTAAACCACATTCAAAATGTTACTGCCCAATCTTTTAAAACACACAGAGAAATACAGTTCCCAAACCTATCATCTTACAATATTTCTAGTGGAAACTGAAGCCAGTTTTTGCCACCTTTTGTATAATGACTCTACAGTCCTAACAATAATTACTCTTCCTGAAACTTCGTGTGGTTCTCATTGTGTCTGGTTTTAAAATATTTTGTTGTGGTTTGAGTGAAAGTTTACAAAGCAAATTGTTTCCCATTCAATAATTTACACACATTTTTTTGGATGACATTAGTGTCAATCCCTTCAATGTAACAGCTCTCTTCTATTTCCCCCCTGGGTTCCCTGGTCCCTGTTCCCACTTGCCCATCTTTCCTGCTTTCTGAACTTTTTTTTTCCAAATGTTGCCCTTTTGGCCTTGTGTGGTTGATTTTTTTGAGGCACACACTCTTGGTGAGTGTTATTATTCATTTTATAGGTCTGAAAGGTGAGCCTGGCGAACTGAAAGATTGTCTAAGGGCCATAGCCTTTGGGATTCTACCCCTCTGACATACCAGTGAGCCAGGCCTTTTTTATGATTTTGAATTTACTTCTACATTTTGTCTGTCCTGGACCTTTTATTATGGCCCCTATAAGAGCAGTTGGTAGTTGTAACCAGGCACCATCTGGTTCTTCTGGTCTCAGGCTAGTGGAGGCTCTGGTTTGTTTGGGCCTTTAGTCTTTTTTTTTTTTAAGTTTTTGTTGTGAATTATGTGATCGTTTACATGGGGGAACATTAGCTTTACAGTCATCCTTTCATATTTTGTTTCATTGCAATGATTACAATCCCCTGCATGCATCATCAACCAATCAAAGGGTATACCCCACAAGCCTGTCCCCTGGCCATCAGCACACAGATCCTCTTCCTCTCTGGGTCTAGAGTCCCCAGCCGTTCCATCTCTCCATGTCATCATCTCTGCCTCCATCTCTGGCATCACAGCTTCTCTGGCTAGGGTCCCGCACTCTGCTCTTCTCCCTTAATGGTCCCAGGGACCTCTGCTCTTGGACTGCAAAATCAACCACTCCCCTCCTGTTGTTACAGAACATCTACCTTTACATTTCTAACACTCACATTCAGTCCTGATAGCAATTATTCACTATTGAACCACAAGAATCTTATTCCTATCTCCTTTCATCAACCCTGTCCAGAGAGATTGGAAACCACTCAGTGGAGATTGTACTTTCCGCTGTACCCTCTGGAACTAGGCTCCCTCTTGAAAGCTTGTAAGCCAGTCGTTTCCTACTTTTGTAGGAACCCTCCCCCCCTCCATTTTGGGTAGCCAATGTAAATTGCCCAACCCTGTCAATCCTGTGTACCGAGGGGGTGGGAATGATTCTCACTGTAAAGATTTGTTCCCTCTTTTGAGTTACGTCTATAAGTCAAGTTCATCAAATTGTAGCAGATTACTCTTTTTTTCCTCTTCTTTCTTCTTCTAGTTGAGTTCTGAT